TCTCTCTCTCTCTCTCTCACACACACACACACACACACACACACACACACACACACACACACACACACACACACACACACACACACACAAACAGACACACACCTCACTTCCTCTTTCACCTCCCCTCTCTTCCGTTCACTTTGTGTCTCTCTCCCACTCTCACTCCTGCTCCTCTTTCCCCCTTGTTCCACTGGAGAACAGGAATTGAACCGTTCACCCCTTTCTGTCTTCGCATTGCAGATCAGGACACCCACTTGGGACTGTAGCCAGCCATACAAAGATTGGACCACAGCCATTGTACTGCCGCCATACAAAGACAGGACAGGGGGTTACCGATACATGGCCTTATACTCACAACATGGCGGCTGAATATGTCAGCATGTTCCATAGCTGTGCCTCGGAGGAATGCGACATCAGCTGCTGTCTCAAGCTGTTTCATCTTCTTCTGCAACTCGACAGCCATCTCAGAACACCGCTGCTCTAGAAGTGCCAGGGTGTTCGGGGCAGAATCCCGATACCTAGCAAAGAACAGGCACAGCAAGAATGCAACAATCCCGTGCACAATAAATCCGAGGTTAAGCAAACTCCACATGATAGTAGTGGCGTAAGGATCAGAGTTCACTCTTGGGGTTAATACTCTTAAGACTCAAGAGTCCACTGATGCAATCGCTGCACAACAGAAAGACCAAGCATGGCCGAGACGGTAGGAACAAAAGAAAAAGAGAGAGAACTGGGAGAGCATGGCTGCATACCGATGCAGGGAAGAGGGTCAAAGAAAAGGATACAATCATACAATGACATATGCAGATAAATAAGGAACGTAGTAAGGTTCTTCAAAACAGATGCCGCGATGATTTGTGGAGCTCGATCAAAGAAGACGGTCGTGTTAGTGTTGTGCAAGCAGACAAGTATGGAAGTAAAATTAGTAAATTCAGGGGATGCTCATATCACTCCCCCTAGCGCGGTAGCATGGTTAATAAAAAAAAAAAAAAAAAAAAAAAGGATAAATTCAGTTTCTTCACAACCCGTGAGTCATGAACTATGTTGCGGGATAAGGTGTTGAAAAATGCACGCAGAAAGGCTGAGGATAAAAGACTGGACTCAGTGGGAAGAGTGGAAAGGGCACAAACGTTTACGCAGATCCCTTCCCACGATTTTGAATACTTTAGCTGTAGTTCCAAGTGTGAATTTTGCTGCGCACATTTTGGCCAGAGAGTGACGTAAAATAGTGGAAAATTACCACATGATACGGCGTCTGTTCTGTGCAGCACATCGTTGCCATGTCTTAGCGACACAAAACGAGGGTTGCGCTCGTTATAGGACTTAACCCAACATCTCATGACACGAGCTGAAGACAGCCATGCAGCACCTGTATGAAGTCAAAGTACATCTTAGTCCCATTCGTTGAGCGCACAACACACGAAGAAATGTCCTTAACTCTCGAGTATGCGACGTGCTTGGTTTCGCAGTCCAAGTCCGTCGATTTAGGCTCCTAGTTCTCCCATCGCCGCATAATTTAATCTATTTCCGAAGGGTACGAAGTCAGTAGATGTCAAAGCAGCCAACACTACTTAGTTAGTCTCACCTGACCACCGACGGTCGTGGTGTTGCTATGAATCCTGTAGACCATCTTCGGGTTTTGTGACAAATCGGGGAACCCTAAACCCGACTTCTTTTATTTCCAAGATCCACAGAGATGAAACGGTATTCACCAATTCGTGGTAGCTGAGGTAGATCCCAGGGTTCGATCCCTAGTTCTTACCTTGCCTGTGTACAGTATCTGTGTCTGTCTCTTATACACATCTAGATGTGTATAAGCACACACACACACACACACACACACACACACACACAACTTAACAAATGAAGTGCAAATTTGCAAAACCCTTTTTCAGAGAAGGCTGCCCTTCTCAAGTGAACGAGATCATCACACTGAATACACTCCAAACCTACTCCTCACAGAAAACACTGATTGAATTGATACAATATACAGATTCACAATCTAACGGTCATGCACACCCTACTGTGTCACTACCTACACACACGCACTGTGTGTGTGTGTGGACAAACATGCCTCCCTCCCAATCCCCCTTCCACCCTCCTTCCCCCTCGCACCCTTTTCGGCACTGCCACTTTCTCAGAAATATGATGGAACAGACTCAAAGTGCTTTGGCGAGCTGGCGAAACTCATCCTTGCATGTCTTCAGCGTCTCAAGGCGCTTGGCGAGGTTGGCAGCCTCCTCTTCCATTTTCTCCATTGCTCCAGGTACAACAAACATCTCCATGAAGCTCTCATCACAGCAGGCAAAGAGTTCCAGGAAAATGGCAGTGCGAAGCCGCGTTCGGCTGTTCACAAACGGGACGGCAACGATAAACAGAAAATCACCACACACACACAGAATGATTACACAGACAGATATGATGAAGCATGGAGAAAGTCAAGACTCACCTTTCCTTACCTCCCCCTTTTCACCAAACGAACGAAACATTGAAATCCTAACCTTCGTAACCTTCCACATTGAAATCCGATGTTTGGCCAGCCTTCCTTATTTGCCAAGCAGATTCATTCGACAACCAAACAAACGAACAAACATACGAACAAACAAACAAACAAACAAACAAACGAACAAACAAACAAACGAACAAACAAACGAACAAACAAACGAAACATGCAAAACATGCAAAAAAGTTGAAAAAACAAAAACAAACCCAAAAGGATCAACAAGCAATGAACGAACCCAATAAACCAAACCTCAACCAACCCAATAAACACAACCAACTCACAAGCCGAACCAACACAAGCGCAATCACCAAAAAACAAACATCCCAGGCCACCCAAAGCTAACCAAGCCAGACCGACTCTACTAAACCAATCCAGACCACCTAAACTAAACCAAACTAAACGACATATTAAAACAAACTAAACCATATTAAACCACATTAAACCAGACTAAACCCTAAACCCTAAACCAAAAGCCAAACCAAACTAAACCAAGCCAAACCAAAGTTACCAAACAACCAACCAACCAAGCAGAAAGACAAAGTTGACAAACCAGACAGCCAGAGGAAACAAAAACAAACTAAACAAAGCAAATGACAACAAACTAAACAAATAAAACAAACAAACAAAACAAACAAAACAAAACAAACAAGGGGAAATTATCGAAATGCCCCTCCAACGGCCAACTTCCCGTGTCATGCCCCTGGGGCCTCTGAAGTTTCAAGCAGACCCCTGTCAGTGAGGGGTGTGACTTTCCAGCATGCCCCTGTGGCCGTTGGTGGCACTCGCAGCTGTTCCCCTGGCCCTGGGAGGGGAGCTACCGGGGCATACTGGAAATTTGGAGCCGGTGCCGACAGGGGCATATGGAACATATTCGAGGCCCAGACGACACCAGGCGTTTTTGAAACTTCAATCGTTGTCAGAGGGGTGCGACAGGGTAAGTCAGCCGTCAGAGGGGCATACCGCAAATAGATGGAAGTCAGAGGGGCATACCACAAATCACTGGAAGTCAGAGGGGCATTTCGAAAACTTTCCCAACAAACAAACAAAACAAACAACCGAACAAACAAGCAAATAAAACAATCGAACAAAACAGACGAGCAAAACAAATAGCCCAACAAACAAACAAAGCATTTTTTTGACTGCCAGATGATAGTTTGTGCCATTTGTCAGCAGAAAGCAGACTTGTCTGCCGAATACGGCAGATAGTGGAAACAGGGTTGGGTAAGTGGGTGAAGATGGAAGCAACTTACCAAGGTGTCAAGAATCCTGTATTGAGAGTGGACAGAACCAGCCGATCGACGAGCACTTCTCGAATGAGCTTGAACTGATCCGATACGCTATCGCACACTTCTGCATAAGCTTGTCTTACACCAGGGTTGTCCGAAAGGCGACCTCCTGTGCCTCCAAGGATCACGCAGTCATCAGGGTCATGTCGCTTCTTCTTCTCTCTTTTCTGGAGCCGACTGTTTCCAGCCGCACCCCCTAAGCGGGATGACCTCCCAGATGCCTCTCCAGTGCTTTCCGTGCTGGGTCGTTTCCGAGCCGGCGAGCGAAGTCTCATCTCACCACGGCCGCTTGCGGCTGCGTACTCACGCCGTTTCTCTTTTCCCATCTCAGCCGCCTGATCAGGCGAGGGTGTCTCCGGGACAGTCTCCTGGCTTTCGCGGAACTGCATCCTCCCGGGACTCCTGGAGCCTCGCTCTCCTCCCCCACCGCCTCGGTGGCCTATTCCATTTGCCATGGCCGACATCGTTGGACCTGCTCCCAAGGCATCCGCTGCCACATTTTCCACTCCTGTTTCGTCATCGTCCACAGAAGAGTCGATACTTCGGCATCCATCTTTTCCACTCAGCCCTACAGCAGCACAGTACCCAGCCCTGCTGCGCGTCGACCTGCTGTCAATACCACTGAGCTCATCCCTGCTCCGTGCAGGCACATGTGGCACCCCGATTTGTGAGTACAGGCTGGTCACAGTAGTGAGGTGATTCCTTGCTAGCTCCTTGCAGGTCCTCGCTACCTCATTGATAAATTGATTGTACACTCGTCGCAGCTCTGATTGGTAGACGACATAAGGGGCAAGTGTTTTCGAAACTGCAGCAAAAACAGATTCAAGACAGCGGGTGCAACAGGAAAGAGGACCCGATCAGTAGTAGAGGACACGAGCTTGTCAACATGCTCACCGAGTATTTCAGCAAGGAGGTGGCAGCAATGTAAAGGGGGGGGGAGAAGGGTGGGGTTGAGTTGAGTGGGTGGGTGGGCGGGGGTGTGAGGTGGGTTTGTTCAAAAGGTATGAAAGATAGATCTCTGACTTCACCAGACATTAAATGAGGAGGGGGGGGCAGGGCGGGGGGGGAGTTGACTGGGTGGGTGGGGCTGTGAAGTGGCTTGCAGTCTGCAGACATAGGAGGCAGACTGCAGGCTAAGCCAACACTCTGAGGCTGCAGTCTGCGTGTTATGTTTGCAGACTGCCTCTGTTACGAACTTCCGCTCATCACCTCACTTGCACACTTGATTGAGATGAGATCACACTGGATTTCAAACCCACAGAAAATCGGAATTGAATAGTCACCTACAAAATAGTTGATGAAATCAGACAAAGGTGATGGATAATTGAAGGGCCGGCCTCCCTGAGCAGTATGCAACAATCGGCTCGAGAAACCATCCAGTGAACAACAAGTTATCACTGGCTATGGCTGCTCTCTCTCTCTCTCTCTCTCTCTCTCTCTCTCTCTCTCTCTCTCTCTCTCTCTCTCTCTCTCTCTCTCTCTCTCTCTCTCCTCTTTGAGCAGTGCTGAAAGAAGCTCCTCTCTAGTCTCACCAAGCAGCAAAAAACATATGACGAATCAATTCTGAATGAGGTTTTTGGCCCAACTCATCACTTTTGAGGAGCAGCTGCTTGCCTAGGCCTACAGTGTCCACCTACCAAAAGAAAAAGCCTAAAACTACCCAACAAAAAGATCCTACCAGCTGCCAGGCGCGACGACGGGGATTGTACAAGTGGGGATGAGCAGGGCTACGGGAGTGGCTCAACCGTGCGGGACTCGTGGGTCCCGCAGGTCTACACACAACACAACCATCGAGGGGAGGCGGGAAGTGCGTGGTAGCCATTGCGGGAAGGAGGAAGTGCGTGGAAGAAGGTGAGAGGGTGAAGTGTCACAAAGAGAAGTGATGATGTGGCATAGGAAAGGAAAGTGATGGGTCATACGAACATCTGATTCGAAGGAATCATTGGTTGCAGGGACATCGACAAGCTGGAGGCATTGTGCTGTGATAGGTTTAAAGAAGAAGATTGGGACATCTCTTCGGTTGAGGCACTTCACTAAGATTGGATTCACGAACGAGGTAACTCGACACTCCTTTATATCGTCGGGGTGGAACTTCAACATTGGCCGTGGCATTGCAATTGACAAGAACAGAATATATCGGTCTTACATTGATGAAGTGAAAAACAATTGTCCTTACACTGGGAGGGCTGTTCGATATTCACCACAAGGGAGAGGGTGGGAAGAGAGGGTGACGTGACACAAAGGGAGGAGATGACATGGCAAAGGAAAGGGAAGTGACGGGTCACAAGGAAAGAGAAGGTGGGAGGGAGAGTGACGAGGGGATGACGGGGCATAGAAACAAGTAGTAACGGGCCATAAGAAGGGAAGTGAAAGGGAGAGGGACGAAGAAGGGACGGGGCATAGGAAGAGGAAGTCACGAGCCATAAGGAGGAAAGGGAAGCGGAAGGGAGAGCGGAGTAGAAAAGAAGGGAAGGTGATAAGGCGAAAGAAGAGAGTGAAAAGGGGAAGGGGGCAAGCAGTATAGAGTAGAACTCGATACAACCTGGGTTAATCGCTTGGGAGAAAAAAAAAAAAAAAAAAAAAAAAGGGGGGGCGAAAGGGGCAAGATAAGGGGTGGATGCAGCTTAGGAGGGAAGAGGGGTTGGACGGGCTAGGGGTGGAACACCCTGGTTCAGGGGGGTGGACGCTGCTTGGGAGGGTAGAGGGGCGGGTGGTTGGCTACACCCTGGTTCAGGGGGGTGGACGCTGCCAGGGAGGGAGAGCTGGAGGGGGTGGGGTGGACACACAAGGTAAGACATAGGGAGTAAGGGGCTGCCCGTAGTGGAGGGTGGTTAACTAGTCTTTGGTTCAAGGGCTAACACAGGGATTTAGAAAATGTCGTTCACATACGTAATGGCAGCCCATAGGGCTATGACTGAAAAGGATAGGAGGGAGAGCGAACAACTGAGGGTACAAGGGGAGGGGGGAAGGAGAGGAGAGCTACAATCAGCATCACAGAGCACGTCAAGCCCAAGCGTCAGGGTCAGCCAATCTAGGGCGCTGGGACAAAAAGCTCTTGACTTCCTGATGGAAAAAACAAAAATCACGGCGCCGGTCAAAGTCACAAAAGAGGTGGTCAAGGGCCAAGATGGAAAGGAGGAAGTGGACGTATGGGATACCCGGAACAGGATCTGCAGTCACTTCACGATCTCTATGCACGTCATGCTGTGTTATTTAATTTTTCAGACAAAAACAAGGAACTCTCTCTTAATGAAAAAAGAAAGTGGGTGATGGAGAGGCTCAGGGGACTAGAGCACATCCCAGGCATGGAACCAGAGGTATCATATTACAAAAGGGGAAGATTTACGGTAATGATAGTTTGTGTGGACCCAGCTTACGCTCATTTTTTACTATCCCTGGGTTCTCTCAAATGTCATGGGTCTGTGGTAACAATGCAAGCATGGAAGCCGCCTCCGCCACCACCGGCGGAAGCATCGAGACACAGGCAGTCTATGCTTAGAGATCATTTTTGGGTACAATTTGACAACCTATCGGAGGGTATGCATAGCTTTGTACAACAACGTCTGATGGAGGAATTCCCAAATAATCCAATCATAGAGTGGCTCCCTGCTAATCCGTACTTTCTAGCTCCGAATCATGAGTCAAGGGTGGTATGTTTGGAGGTTAAGTCGGGAGCTCCGCCAAAGTTCCCTGAGGCCTGGATTTTTCGCAGGCGGACAGAAAGAATTACTCTTTTTATATCCACAAAAACTAATCCGTTTTGCTTTAAGTGTAGAGGTAGGGGACACTTGGGGGATGCACTGCCCGCAGTCTGAGTCGGGGTCAGGAGGTAGTCAGCCACCGCCAAAGTTCCCTGAGGCCTGGATTTTTCGCAGGCGGACAGAAAGAATTACTGTTTTTATATCCACAAAAACTAATCCGTTTTGCTTCAAGTGTAGAGGTAGGGGACACTTGGGGGATGCACTGCCCGCAGTCTGGGTCGGGGTCAGGAGGTAGTCAGCCACAATTAAAACAATCAATGCTTGTTGAATCATACAACAAACCAGGGGTATGGTTCATCAATTCAGCACAATACAGGGGCTGGATCTTTGATGACAACCTGGACATTCCATGATGGGTGTGGGTTCTTCGCAGCGCACCAACGGTGAAATCGGACATCTACCCTCCATATGACAGTAGATGGCGGCAAACGGATGCAAAGAGAATGGTGGAACGAGACGTGGGATTTATCAATAAGCCCATGATAGATGACGCCTCATTGCTGGATGACGGGCAGAGACTACAGACCATGGCAAAGCTACATAAGGTGGGCCAAGCAGCAGAGCTGGCCTTCTTGGAAAACAGAAGAACAAGAGAGGAGGCACAGAAGTCAGAAGCGGAGGGAAGTTCGTAGGAAAAGGGGGACAATGGTGTGCAGGGAAGTAAGAACGGTTCAAGGAGTAAAGAAACGAGGGAGGCAGAGATGAAAGAAGATGACGAAGACAGGTCACTGAAGGGGAAGGGAAGGGGGGAGATGATAGCCCCTCTTAAGAGGAAAATCAATGACAGGGAATCAGTGAAAGGGGATAACTCATACCAAGGACCTAAGCGGGCACATTCAGGGAAGGGAACAGATGAAGCTTCCACACAGGGGGAACAGGAAAACAAGGATGATATGGAGGAAGAAGGCAAGGGGGAACAAGGATCTCAAGAGGAAGAAATGGAAATTACAACCTCTTCAGATGACACGTCAGCTTCAACATCAAAAGACCAGCAAACAGAACATGGGCCTTCAGCAGGCCGAACTAGCTCTACAAACGGATCACCTTCCGGTGATAAGGAAAACACAGCAGAGGACTCGGGGGGCGAGGGGGACGAAGGGGCAGGGAAAACGTCACAGGACTTAGATTGGGGACAGTGACAGGCGGGAGACACATTGAAGGGGAGGGCGAAGAAGGGGAGGAGGATCCGAAGACACTAGCACAGTGGATTAAGCATGTTCACAAGCTGACGTGGGAGAGACACATTGAATGTGAGATTTGTCTGGCACACCACAAGCATGTGCGCAATTTGAAACAAGCCACAGCAGTGGGGGATGACATCACAACAGCAAATAGATTTGAAAGACTGGAGAATGAGATGGAGGTTAATGAATTCCACGCTACGCAATTCCGATGGAAGGCTAGACTGGACAAGAATGACATCACGGTGCACAATGCGGGGCACGCCAAGCAGTTCATTTGGCCGGAGTCCTACCAGCCACAGGGTCTGAAGAGATCTGAACAGAAACGAAGGGCCCAACAACGAGAAGCGGAGCAATTGGGAAGCAATAACCAGGATTTGTCGGATTCCACTCAGGGGTTAGGGGTGGATGAACAGATGGAAGAGGAAACAAGGCAGGCAGCGATCTTGGAAGCACAAGTCGAGGTTCTCAGGGATCAGAACAGGGAATTGGGGGAAGACAATATAAATTTGCAAAAAATAGCCTATGCAAACATCAATGCAGCAGCCAAATTGTACACAAGACAAGACCCAGGTAAGAGAATCATTCTGCCCTACAGATGGAACAGCGGCAATGCTGATTGGGAGGTGGCCATCAAAAGGTCTCTGGCACTAATCACAGCGAAGGATAGTCACTGCGAGCATGATATATTGAAGGAACGTATCACAAAAGCTCTGCCCTCGTAGGCACACGTCATTGGGGATCTCAAGCATGATAGGGAAGAATGGGAAGACGCGGCGAGTGCAGCACACATGGTGCACTACAGGCTAGTCATGATCAAGCTGCAGGAAAAGGCAGTACTGGCTGAGGGATTGATCTGGATG